TTATCTCCTCCATGCTGGCCTTTAGTTACCACAAATTGCCCGCGGTCCTCCACCATATGTAACGGGGTTTGCTCGGCAGTGGGTGTGTGTGACCCCCTGGATGGGTGCACAACACAAAAAGACAGGCACAGCACAACAACCGTGGAGGTGAAAACAAACAGGTGCAATTTATTTACAGAAAAATGGTAAACCAAAAAAAAGAAACATCAAAATAAATCCTGGCCAACTTGGCTACTTACTGCAACAACAGCTTTCCCTAGCTACCCACTAGGTACAGCCTGCTGCTATACCTAGTTGCTAGTACTTAGAGGCTAGCCACACAGGCTTTGGTCTCTCTGCACACAGATAAGAGGCCAGCTCCCCAGACAGTTCAGGTACAGATCTGGTTCCAGGTTGGAGCAACTCCCTAAGCACTCTGGGAAGTTTTATACAGGTCTTAATGAGCCCACTACCTTCAGCTGACTAGGTACCGGGTGTGTACCTAGTCCTGGTTCACTGGACAGAAACTGATCCTGGACTGGTGGATCAACATTGATGGTTTAGAATTTCAACTTGAGAGGAGGAAATATCATCTTAACCATCCCTAAAGAAACCTATTGAGGCTAAAGTGTGGAAGGAGGGAGACCTCTGGTGGCAGAAATAAGGCAATCCACAATATGGATGGAAGCACGCATATAAAGTAAAGATTTCCACCTTGTCCTGTGAGGACAAAAAAGTGTGTTTAGCCAGCTTGTCTGGCTAACAAGGAGGTGAGCGTACACCTATCCACAGAGCACGGGGAGTGTGGCACAATACACTTCACTTGTCACTGAAATATTATAGAAGCACAAAGAGGACTCTTTATAAAAACCGTTTGAAATATTGGATGAATATTATTTTGATATGCACTATATGTTGCACTGGCTTGAAGCACGTTTACTTTGTTCACGTTATTGTTTGAATTATCACTAGTATATGAGTTGTTGAGTTCATTATGGAGCGCGGCACGTATATGTATATGTAGATACATATCATGTTTCAAGTTTGCATATGTGCCTCCCACTTGTTAAGGGACCAAAAGTAATGGGACAGAATAATAATCATAAATCAAACTTTCACTTTTTTAATACTTGGTTGCAAATCCTTTGCAGTCAATTACAGCCTGAAGTCTGGAACGCATAGACATCACCAGACACTGGGCTTCATCCCTGGTGATGCTCTGCCAGGCCTCTGTCTTCAGTTCCTGCTTGTTCTTGGGGCATTTTCCCTTCAGTTTTGTCTTCAGCAAGTGAAATGCATGCTCAATCGGATTCAGGTCAGGTGATTGACTTGGCCATTGCATAACATTCCACTACTTTCCCTTAAAAAACTCTTTGGTTGCTTTTGCAGTCTGCTGTGGGCCATTGTCCATCTACACTGTGAAACGTCCAATGAGTTGTGAAGCATTTGGCTGAATATGAGCAGATAATATTGCCCGAAACACTTCACAATTCATCCTGCTGCTTTTGTCAGCAGTCACATCATCAATAAATACAAGAGAACCAGTTCCATTGGCAGCCATACATGCCCACGCCATGACACTACCACCACCATGCTTCACTGATGAGGTGGTATGCTTAGGATCATGAGCAGTTCCTTTCCTTCACCATACTTCTTCTCTTCCATCACTCTGGTACAAGTTGATCTTGGTCTCATCTGTCCATAAGATGTTGTTCCAGAACTGTGAAGGCTTTTTTAGATGTCATTTGGAAAACTCTAATCTGGCCTTACTGTTTTTGAGGCTCACCAATGGTTTACATCTTGTGGTGAACCCTCTGTATTCACTCTGGTGAAGTCTTGATTGTTGACTTTGACACACATACACCTACCTCCTGGAGAGTGTTCTTGATCTGGCCAACTGTTGTGAAGGATGTCTTCTTCACCAGGGAAAGAATTCTTCGGTCATCCACCACAGTTGTTTTCTGTGGTCTTCCGGGTCTTTTGGTGTTGCTGAGCTCCCCGATGCGCTCCTTCTTTTTAAGAATGTTCCAAACAGTTGTTTTGGCTACTGTAAAGAAATAGTAAGCGAGCGCTATCTAAGGCTCAGAAAATTAGCTGCTAGAACACCAAAAAAGGCAACCAAGAACAAACCTCCAATCAATTTATGTAAATAGATAAAAGGTGCAGCGCTTATATGTAAATATATAAAAGGTGCAGCGCTGTTAGCGCTGCACCTTTTATCTATTTACATAAGTTGTTTTAGCCACGCCTAATGTTTTTGCTATCTCTCTGATGGGTTTGTTTTGTTTTTTCAGCCTAATGATGGCTTCCTTCACTGATAGTGACAGCTCTTTGGATCTCATCTTGAGAGTTGACAGCAACAGATTCCAAATGCAAATAGCACACTTGAAATGAACTCTGGACCTTTTATCTGCTCATTGTAATTGGGATAATGAGGAATAACACACACCTGGCCATGGAACAGCTGAGAAGCCAATTGTCCCATTACTTTTGGTCCCTTAACAAGTGGGATGCACATATGCAAACTGTTGTAATTCCAACACCGTTCACCTGATTTGGATGTAAATACCCTCAAATTAAAGCTGACAGTCTGCAGTTAAAGCACATCTTGTTTGTTTTGTTTCAAATCCATTGTGGTGGTGTATAGAGACAAAAATGTTAGAATTGTGTCGATGTCCCAATATTTATGGACCTGACTGTATATATATATATTTATATATATATATATATATATATATATATATACACAGTTGTGTTCGAAGTAATAGCAGTCAGACATCACTAACCGGATCAATCACTGTTTTTGGTAGAAATGATATTTCTACATGGCAAATAATTTCCTAGCAGGTGTAGTAGAGTAATAGAAAATCCAACAGACCCAAGAGTCATGACATGCATGCTGCTGATTCTGTGTCATTGAATTGAAAGGGGGATGTTTCAAAATAATAGCAGTGTGGAGTTCTATTAGTGAGGTCATTCATTCTTTGAAAAACAGGTGGCAATTATTGCCCTTATTTAAGGAAGGAAGGCAGCAAATGTTGGACATGCTGGTTACAGTGCATTTCTCTCTGAAATTCTGAGGAAAATGGGTCGTTCAAGACATTGTTCAGAAAAACACAGCGTACCTTGATTAAAAAAGTTGATTGGAGTGGGAAAACATATAAAGAAGTGCAGAAAATGATAGGCTGCTCAGCTAAAATGATTGCAAATGCTTTAAAATGGCAACCAAAACCTGAAAGATGTGGAAGAAAGCGAAAAACTACCATTCGAATGGATAGAAGAATAGCCAAAATGGCGGGGACTCAGCCAAGAATCAGCTCCAGGAAGATGAAAGGTGTGACGTTCCCTGTGAGGACTGTTACAATTAGAAGACGCCTATGTGAAGCCAAGCTATCTGCAAGAAGCCCCCGCAAAGTCCCACTGTTGGAAAAAGACGTGTGCTGAAGAGGTTACAATCTGCCAAAGAGCACATTGACTGGCCTGAAGAGAAATGGTGCAACATTTTGTGGACTGATGAAAGTAAGATTGTTCTTTTTGGGTCTAGTGGCCGGAGACAGTTTGTCAGACGACCCCCAAACACTGAATTCAAGCCACAGTACACTGTGAAGACAGTGAAGCATGGTGGTGCAAGCATCATGATATGGGGATGTTTCTCATACTACGGTGTTGGGCCTATTTATCGCATACCAGGGATCATGGATCAGTTTGAATACATCAGAATACTTGAAGAGGTCATGCTGCCTTATGCTGAAGAGGAAATGCCCTTGAAATGGGTGTTCCAACAAGACAACGACCCCAATCACACCAGTAAACGTGCAACATCTTGGTTCCAGACCAACAAGATGGACGTTATGGAGTGGCCAGCCCAATCCCCGGATCTTAATCCAATAGAAAACTTGTGGGGTGACATCAAAAATGCCGTTTCTGAGGCAAAACCAAGAAATAGAGAAGAACTGTGGAATGTGGTCCAATCATCCTGGGCTGGAATACCTGATCACAGGGGCCAGAAGTTGGGTGACTCCATGCAACACAGATGTACAGCAGTTCTCAGAAACAGTGCGACTACAACCAAATATTCATGAAGTCATTCAAAGGAAAGCAAAATCTTCAAACATTTTTCAGTTTATATAGTGAATGTTTGAGTTTGTAAAGAAGATACAAAAACACTGCGATTTTGTTGAACCGTCTAATATTCACTTTTCTTCAATTTTTTTAGAGGAACAACACAAATTTGATGTATTTTTCTTCATGTTTTGATTTGGAATAGAATGTGTCATGTTCCCAATGCATTTGTGTGGATGGAAATAAAAGCTATTAGAAGGATTTTGAGCTTTAGTCACTTTTTTGAACACACTGCTATTATTTTGAACACAACTGTTTATAGTTGTATATAAAATGCACTATTTATTTATTTCAGGAACTTATATAGCGCCATCAATTTGTGCCACGCTTTACATATATATTGTACATTCACATCAGTCCCTAACCCTCAAGGGGTGTACAATCTAAGGTCCCTAACTCACATTCATACATACACGTACTAGAGACAATATAGACATGATCCAATTCACCTACCAGCATGTTTTGGAGGAAACCGGAGAAAACACACGCAGGCACAGGGAGAAACATGCAAACTCCAGGCAGGTGGTGCTGTGGTTAGGATTCAAACCAACGACCCAACTACTGCCAGGCGGAAGTGCTAACCATTTAGCCACTGTGCTGTCCAATATTTATCTATCAAAAAGTGTTTCCCAGTGCTAAACCTTTCATTCAAATTTCTAAATTGTTGCATTTGTAAACTTCAAAAGCGATAAGTGATACTAAACCCCGGACCCTGCATTCACTATATCATCTCTCCCCGGACCCTGCATTCACTATATCCGGTCTCCCCGGACCCTGCATTCACTATATCATCTCTCCCCGGACACTGCATTCACTATATCCGGTCTCCCCGGACCCTGCATTCACTATATCCGGTCTCCCCGGACCCTGCATTCACTATATCCGGTCTCCCTGGACCCTGCATTCACTATATCTGGTCTCCCCGGACCCTGCATTCACTATATCTGGTCTCCCCGGACCCTGCATTCACTATATCCGGTCTCCCCGGACCCTGCATTCACTATATCCCGTCTCCCCGGACCCTGCATTCACTATATCTGTTCTCCCCGGACCCTGCATTTACTATATCCGCTCTCCCCGGACCCCGCATTCACTATATCCGCTCTCTCCGGACCCTGCATTCACTATATCCGCTCTCCCCGGACCCTTCATTCACTATATCCGCTCTCCCCGGACCCTTCATTCACTATATCCGCTCTCCCCGGATCCTGCATTCACTATATCCGCTCTCCCCAGACCCCGCATTCACTATATCTGGTCTCCCCGGACCCCGCATTCACTATATCCGGTCTCCCCGGACCCTGCATTCACTATATCCGGTCTCCCGGGACCCTGCATTCACTATATCCGCTCTCCCCGGATGCTGCATTCACTATATCCGGTCTCCCCAGACCCTACATTCACTATATCTGGTCTCCCCGGACCCCGCATTCACTATATCCGGTCTCCTCGGACCCTGCATTCACTATATCCGGTCTCCCCGGACCCTGCATTCACTATATCCGGTCTCCCCGGACCCTGCATTCACTATATCTGGTCTCCCCCAGACCCCTTCATTCACTATATCCGCTCTCCCCGGACCCTGCATTCACTATATCTGGTCTCCTCGGACCCCGAATTCACTATATCTGGTCTCCCACAGTACACAGAACATGGAAATGCAGTTATTTTAGTAAATATAAACTGCTAAATACCTTTTCTCATCAGCAGTATATAGCAGTCTTATGACTTCTATCAGTGTCCAGCAGAGCACTAGCTAAAGCTTGTAAGAGGAGTTTTCTTTCTTCTCTAGGAGGATGCAGAACCCCTGACCCTCTGTCTAGACCAGGGGTGGGCAAACTTTTTGACTTGAGGCCGCAATGGGTTCATATATTGGACCTGGGGGCCGGGACCAAGAGTAGATGAATGATGTGTATGTGTCATCCATAGTAAGTATAGTAATATTCCCCCATAGTAATTAATCCCCCATATAGTAATTAATCCCCCATATAGTAATTCATCCCCCATATAGTAATTCATCCCCCATAGTAATTCATCCCCCATATAGTAATTCATCCCCATAGTAATTCATCCCCCATATAGTAATTCATCCCCCATATAGTAATTCATCCCCCATATAGTAATTCATCCCCCATAGTAATTCATCCCCCATAGTAATTCATCCCCCCATATAGTAATTCATCCCCCATAGTAATTCATCCCCCCTATAGTAATTTATCCCCCCCTATAGTAATTCATTCCCCATATTAAGTCCCCAAGTCCCCCCTGTGTCAATTCACTTACCTTTGCTCCGCGCGTTCCTCTCGCCGTGTTCCCGCGCCGTTCCGGTCTTCAGGGCGGACTGTGAGAGGAGCCTACCTCCCTCACGTTCGTCACGCTGCCCCGCCTACACACATCCTGTCAGCCATCCTGACAGTATCACGCTCCGCGGGCCGGATTAAAAGGTCCGCCGGGCCGTAGTTTGCCCATTGCTGGTCTAGACAGTGCTGATTTCCCTGTGCTGATCACATGCACTCTCCCAAGAAAAAAAAAAAAACTCTCTTGCAATACACACCAAACTGAGCATGTGCAAAATGCCTACAATTCAGTCTGTCTTATCAGAAGATAAGAGGTGGTCTCTTGAGAAACGGGAGGGTTAGAGAAGACAGGATCAAACAGCCTTTTTACACAATGTGAAGGATTAACCCCTTAGGTTCCACAGTGAGTATAGCAAGCATGCTTTACTGCATATACAGACTGATTTCCCCGTTGTGGGTTTAGTAACACTTTAACCATTTTTTTTGTATAAATCTTCTTTAAGGGGGCGTGGCGAGGGGGATGTGTCGTGTGCCTACATTCTTTTGCTGATAAGTGTCCATCGATCTCAGACAACTGTGAGGTATGCAATTAATTCTCTAGGGCTATATTTGGAGAATCTAAGAACAAAAAATGCCAGCAATTGTTTGCAGCTGAATTTGTTATTTAGAGTACTTATAGAATGCAGCTAGGAGACATTGTTCTTCACGTCACACAACAATCCCCACTGCAGGCAGTTCTCGGGTTACAAACAATAACAAGTTCTGCAGGTTGGTTCTTCAGTTGAATACGTATGTAGGATGGAACGGGTACATTTTTGTTAAGTGTAATTCCAGCCCAAAAATTATTTTAGTTTTGGATAGAATAGGGAAGGGTTAACTGGCCATGCAGTGATGTGGGATTGCTGACAGGTCCTCTGGACAGTAGGTGGCAGCATGCGGTGAGCAGCAAGATGGCCACCAGGTGGTTTCCGGGATCGGGGTGATGTCATGTTGCCTCTGTTCTTAACCAGTTCCTGACCACGCTATAGCCAAAAGATGGCTACAGCATGGTCGGCTAGTTCTGGGAGGGCGTCCATGGATGTCCTCCCAGAACAGCGCCCCCTTCGGAAAAACTGATCACATGACTAAGGAACGGGCCAATCACAGCCTCTTTTACCATGTGACAAGCTGTGTCCAATCACAGCTGATCATCAGATAAATAGGAAATGCCAATTATTGGCAGTCCTTTTCCTCATGAGAACAGCGCATAAGGAGAGGAGAGCCAGTAAGCAGCATTTTGCAGGGGGACATATACACTGATCATCAAGGCACAGGTGATCAGTGTAGCCACATCAGTGTGGTTAATAGTGCCCATCAGTGCCTATCTGTGCTGGCAATCAGTGCTGGCAACCAGTGCCGCCTATCAGTACCACCTAACAGTGCCCATTAGTGCTGCCTATCAATGCCCATCAGTACCGTTTAACAGTGCCCATCAGTGCTGCCTAACAGTGCCCATCAGTGCCGCCTAACAGTGCCCATCAGTGCTGCCCATCAGTGCCACCTATCAGTGCAGCCTCATCAGTGCCCATTAGTGACTCCTCATCAGTGGCCATCAGTGAAGGAGAAACATTACTTATTTACAAAAAAATTTTTCAAACAGTTTTTGTCTTTTTTAGTTTGTATAGCAAAAAAATAAACCCCCCCAGTGGTGATCAAATACCACCAAAAGAAAGCTCTATTTGTCTAAAAAAAGATAAAAATTTAGTTTGGGTACAGTGTTGCATGACCGCGAAATTGTCATTCAAAGTGCAACAGTGCTGAAAGCTGAACATTGGCTGGGGCAGGAAGGGGGTGGAAGTACCCGGTATTGAAATGGTTAACCCAGATTTCTGCAGACAAGTGTGGATTGTGCAGAATACATGGGGCTTGTACAGGGGATGAGGTATCAAACCAAAATATTGAGCTGGATTACAACCCTGTAGAATGCAAACCGAATGACCCGCGTTGCCGGGAAGTAAGTGCAACTAAGGAAAGGTTTTGAATCTAGAACAAAGTTTTCAACCAGGGTTCCATGGAACTACAGGGTTCCTCCAGAGGTTGCCAGGGTTCCTTGAGCAATTTTTGCCTCTGAGATAAGTTCCCGCTGACACCATTGATCTTTTTAGCCATCTGTAAGGGGGTAATTCTTCCCAATGACCACAAGTGTGAGGAGCATTGTTTTTTCCAGCACATCCCACAGATGCTCAATGGAGTGAGATATGGCAAATTAGGAGGACAAGTCAACACTTCAAACTCGTTGCGTTCCTCCAACCACTCTTGAGCCATTTTTTGCAGTGTGGCAGGGTGCATTATCCTGCTAAAAGAGGTCACTGCCATGAAGGAATACCGTTTCCATCAAGGGGTGTGCTTGATCACCAACAATGTTTAGTTAGGTGGTACGATGTCAAGTAACATCGCATGAATGGCAGGTCCCAAGGATTCCCAGCAGAACATTGCCCAAAGCATCACACTGCCTCCGCCAGCTTGCCTTTTTCCCATACTGCAACCTGGCGTCATCTTTTCCCCAGGTCACACACACCCGGCCATCCACATGATGTAAAAGAAACAGGGATTCATCAGACCGGGCCACCGTTTTCCATTGCTCCGTGGCCCAGTTCTGATGCTCACATGGCCATTGTAGGCACTTTTGGCTGTGGACATGGGCCAGCATGGGCACCCTGACCAGTCTACGACTACACAGCCCCATGCACTGCAAACTGCAATTTCATTTTTTAGGCTTTGAACCTATCAACGTCAGGGACAAATAAGCTGAGGGTTTTAAGTGTTTTGTCTTGCTGTAATCAGTGGTGTAGTGTGGGGGGGAGAGACAGCTGGGGCGGTCACTCTGGGTGCAAGATTTAAGGGGGCACAGAAATTAGTCCCACGCCCTCCTGAGTCCCACACTGTGACTGTCTGTCGTCTGATGATGGCATTGACTTCCTGGTGCCCTGGCGCTGTGCTGCTGCCGCCACCCTTTCGTTCCCGGAGAAGGCCCAGACTCCCCGCAGTGCTTTCAGCCGGAATCCAACCTATCCCAGTTCTGGCTACTCTGCAGATTCCGCTCCATTGGACCCACGTGTAGGGAGGGGAGCCAGCTACGTCTTGCAGAGGGAGGAGAAGGAAGAAGCACCACAGCTCACACTGGACCCCCCGACTGGTCCGATCCACCCAGGTCACCAGAGAGAACATTGAGCGGTGTGCAGGGAGGTGATGGAGCACTGCTTAGTCTCTTTCTTTCTCTCTTTTTTGATGTGGTTAAGTAATGTATAATAAAAGGTCATCCGCAGATAAGAAGAGTTTACAGTGTGTGGAAAGGATATGAATACCCTGAATAGAGTTTATTAATGCGTATAGCTTGGGCTAAGCGTTCAATTACCATTACAAATTATAGTGGGGAAAGGGGGCAGGCCTGTCATGTGCCATTAGAAATGTTAAACTGTTCAGATTGGATGCCATTAACCCGTACAGTCTAGAGGGTGTAGAATATAGGGACATGATATGACCTAACATTTTTTGGATCCACTCCAATTTGTTCCAAGGCCTGTCGAAGAAAAGACCAGTTGACTCTGTCAAAGGCCTTCTCTGAGTCAGAAGAGAGAAGGCAAGCTGGGACCTGAGTCTTCTGGACCATAGAAATAAGGTGAATAGTGTCAGGGAGCGAGGAAGCCAGACACACAAGGAGGTGCAATTAAAGGTAGTTTATTGTACAAAAAACAAGAGTCTATGCAAGTCCAACAGCAACAGCGGATGACTGAGTAGGACAGTAGCCAGGAAGAATGGTCGCCAGAGCCTAGGTTTAGAAGCCAGGAAGGATGATCGCCAGAGCCGGGGTTCGGAAGCCAGGAAGGATGGTCACCAGATCCGGAGTCAGAAGCCAGGAAGGATGATCGCCAGAGCTGGGGTCAGGAGTCAGGAAGGAGTCTTGCCAAAACCGAGTCGGTATCCAGGAAGAGCAATGAGAAACCAACAGGAGCTTGTTGCAGTGCAACAGACAGGACACGAATGCAATGAGCAGCTGCAGACAGCAGGCTTAAATGTGATAAGCCACCACTTCCTGGAGGAGGAGCCGCAGAGGAC